CCACAGTCCCTGGGTGTTACAAGGTGGCTTGGCCCAGGGACCACTTAGGGTAAGTGTTGGGCCCATAGAGCCCATTTGATGGGTTTCAGGGGGTGCACTGTCCATAACAGTGTATTCGGCAAGGCCTTGTAATAAAGGTTGGGCCGAATCCATGTGGATGATGTGTAGAGCAATGCTTGGGTCCCACGCCATACAAGGAAGCCCAACTGGGCAGCAGTTAGGAAGGTTAAGTAAGTACATAAGCTTAATGGGCCTAAAGCCCATTTCGAACTGGGTTATTCATTTAGTTAATTAAAGGGGCGAATTCTGAGATGGATTAGGAGAAAGCTAATATAGAAACCTCCTAATGAGATTAGGAGAAAGCTAATCTAGTCTGTAGATAAGATAAAGGTTTATCATTATCACCTGAAGAGAATGCTGATCCAAATATGATTTGGATAAGCAGCTCCTAATGAGATTAGGAGCTGATCTTTCTAGGTTAACAAAAGAAGAATGGGGCGGCAGCCTTTAGGGGACACACATAAGATTTTATTCAGTGCTGAAATCAAGAAGAGAGAATTCTGCACCCTGCGAATACTCTCTTGCCGCCTCCCTATTCTTGCCGCCCTGTTTGCCAGTTCGATCTCCAGTTGTGTGAGAAGTCAATATTGGATCTTAACATCAATTCTTTGAGAAAGGATTGAAAGGAAACTGTGCTCACGTACCATCATTCTGATTCTTGCGAATGACAGAGTTCTTGGAGAAGAACACTGCTGATTCTGCTCCATCCTGCACTGCGCCATCTTCAGTGGGAGCAGTCTTTGGATMCTTCYTTGGGCGTGAACACCTTCGTTGGGAGATATTATTTCTCCGTATCAGGTATAATCCTCTCCTACTCCTTTTGGTTCAGATCGGGTTTAGTTTATGGTTCAAGAATGATCCTTGAAAATATGATTTTCTAAAATAGGGAATGCGATTCCCAGTTGAAGGGAGAGAAAAATTTTTGAAATTCGCCCCCTTATTCCGCAATCTTTGGGCGTTCATACGATGGATCTCTCACCCCTTCAGCTTATATATTATGAGAAGCACATAAACCAATTGATCGTGGCTCAATATACCTTTATCAAGTTAGTTGTAATAGAGACCTAGGTTGGGGCAATGGGTTACCTCCCATTGTGTAGCACTATAAAGCCAAAAAAATGTGTTTTGCATGAGATTAATAACCACATTAAAAAAAAGCAATTTCAAAAAAATTAATTGATGAATATAACCAAAAACTTACATCAAGTACTTTCTCACTACATTTTATTATTGAACCATAACAATCCACTAAAGAAATCTACATTAAATTATATTAATAAAACAAAGGGAAAACACGAACCAAAGGAAAGGAGCAAAATAGAGGAAAAAACTTGATAACTTAAGGAAATGAACAATGATTTATTTAGTTTTGTTCACCCCATATACTCGTGGGCTAATTTAGGCTTTTAGGCATTAATTTGGGTCCAAGCTAAGGTTCATATTTAGATTGACCCTTAACCTAACCCAACTAACCCAACCCATCTAATTTACACCCTATTTTATTAGAGAGAGCCAAAAGGGACTAACAGATATTTAATAGGGAGGGGAGATATTACAAACATTGAATATTAAGGTGAGAAGAGAGAGAGAGAGAGAGAGATTTATTAAAGAGTAAATATGGATTTTATAAGAGACAATAAAGACCCATGAGGTTTTTAATGATTTGATATAAAAGTAAATATGCACGTACAAGAAATGAGAAGAGGAGGATGAGCTACGTGTGAGTTTTCTCCCCTTCCCAACCCTACATTCTTAGCTTATCTCCCTTATGCCTCTCCTAACTCTTTCAAATTGTTACCTCAACATGGCCCTCTCCCTTTTATTAGGAAACTCACCTACATGAGTTTTCTATTCCAAAAAGTAAACTCCTATTTGAATCTCCCTACTCACCTATGTGTGTTTCCTATTTAAGAACGTTTAAACTCCTATTTGAATATCCCTATTGATGTAGGGATAATTGGCGGGCTTCAGATCGCGCCACATGGCATCAGCCAAATCAAATATTGGTTGCACATCACCAACTGCTTCCAACCACTCCTAAGGCAATGTTAGATATAAAAGGGGGTGCTCATCTCAAGGTAAGCATATTCAGAATCCCAAGAGAATTATTCTTGGCTATTAAGGACTAAGCTCTGAGCCCTCGTCTCTTGCCTGGTTCGACCCCTCTTAAACGCTTGGCTAACTTGACTGCCGGAGCCTCCGCCCTTGGGATAACACCTGGGGCCTCTGACATGTACTCTTCTCTTGTTTACAGATCGGACTTGTCAGCCTCGAATATCAGTGAAATCTCCTTGTTGCTCTTAGCCTCATATTTGGCAGCAACACCTACTCACCTATGTGATTTTCCTATTTCAGAATGTTTGGACTCGTATTGTCTTTCATTCTTGGTTCCCGCAATGCATTGTGTGGTTTCCAAAATACTATCATATTCCTTCAATTCAGGTTCTATCTAATCTCTTAAAAGAGGCCAAGCTACAAAGTGAAGATTTACAATGGTGTCTCTGCAACTTCTCTACTATAGGAGAACATTGTTGGATTGGACAGGTGAGATGGATAGCGAGGCCGTGGACATAGAGAACGGTCGGGCATCTATTAAGGTACTGTAATTCTTTTATTCAATTGTGTTCTTACTGTAATTCTTTGATATCATT